ACAGGTTTGTTTATGAAACAGAACACTTCAATGGTGTAGCTGAACTGCTGGAAATATTAGGAAGGTAAGTACCTATTAGGAATTTAATCTAATTGCTAATTTAAGGTGACGATCATTCTGAAAATTAGGTACAGTGGAAATGTTGACCTAGAATTCTTGCTGAATATACATTTGGTTTTCTCATTTGTGCTTAGCATGTTTTCCAACTGACTTTACGAGACATGCATCTCTGTCCCCTTGTCTGACAATTAGACATTGCTGATCCTCCTGGAATGACTAAAGAGCCATCAGTTCATTTATTACTGCAAAGCCAATGCATCTAATAGTGGTTGGCCCAACTCCCACCAAACATGGTGTCCTCTCTAATTTCTAGGGTACCTGTGTTTTGCTATATCTGTTGAAAGCCTAGTTTGTAATAAATTTTAAAAGATGGACATTTTCATAGAAACTGTGCACCGTGGTGTAGTCCTTAGACAGCTGCTGCCTGGAGCAGTGGAATGCATTTGAAAGAGACAGCTGTTGTGTTGCATTGTACACACAAGGGAGGCGAATGCAGCTGGACAATGTGATTACTTAGTCTTTCCTCCTAACATGAGGAGAAAAAGAAGGTGAAGACACACAAGATTGCTCTCAGCAGCTTCCTAACCTCAGTGTTTTGGGTCTGGGCAGAAATTTCAGGAATGGAAAGGGAAGGATATCTGGAAATGAAAAGAGTTATATTTAAAGAGGAAGTGAGCAAGGCAGGCAATTATTTTGGGAAGGAAAAATAAAGGGCTTTTGATACCAGAGTTTTGGGGAGCCATCTTACAAGTTGAAGAGCACACTCAGAGCCTTTGCTATGTGATTGGCCATAAACAAATTTTCTTCTTCCCCTAAATTTCCTTCTTTGAAGTGACTGAGAATCTTGGATGCCACTGGGGTGGGTTTGGGGCTGTTTACTGACCAATATAAACTGATTATGATTTAACCAATCTCACAATGACAGTTTTTCTCAGTTTAACTTGTTGTGGTGACATTGCTAATTCATGTCTCTCTTCTTTTTCCTAGTATTATCAATGGCTTTGCTTTACCTCTTAAGGCAGAACACAAACAGTTTCTGGTGAAAGTGTTGATCCCTTTACACACTGTCAGGAGCTTATCACTCTTCCACGCGCAGGTAGATTTTGTACAACTAATTCTGGAGCAAAATAAAACGTTTTCAAATGCAAGGATCTCTTTAGAAAGACCTGTTAAAGTTTAAAATATTTCACAAGAGAAATGAAAATGTCTACCTTTTTTTTCCCTTGCTGTGTACAGTAGAATTATGGGAATATTTTTAAAGTGGGACAAGCCGTTTTTCAGCTATCTCATTTTATAGAGAACTTTGATGCCTTGCCCAAGTTCACATAATTTATAGTGTACAAGTTGCATATAATAAAATATATATGGCTTTTTCAGATTTAGGTATTTGGGCACATAGAACCATTTTGGAGTGTTCTCGAATACTTTAGTCCCATTCTCACTCTGTATTTGCCCTATCACCCCCTCTTCTACTGTATTCATAAATATTTTCACAAATAAAGGAATCAGTCAATATTTGTCTATCTTATTTTTTAGCCGTTGTTAGTTGAAAACAAACAAACAACATGTCGTGCTCTTGTCCCCACGCTAAATGCCTTGCTACCACTGCTGTGCATGGTGAGCCTGTCACTAGGGGGTAGATACGTGGTCTACTAGCAGTTTTTATTTTATTATTTCCAGCCTCTTACTCCCTCCTCTCCTCAGTGGGAATGTCTTGAATATGCCTAAAAATGTAACACAGTTTTCTAAGTGGTGTTCCTGGTTGAATGTGAAATGCTGTGTTCTGAGGAAAATTAGCCTATATGTTTCTAATACAGGCACCATCCATTAAAATGCTGTTTCACAAGAGTGGGTTTCTGCTCCAAGAATTTTTCTGAGCCCTTTTACATATTTTGCATTTTGTGTTTGAGATGGGATCACGTTTGTAACAGAATTGGTGCCTAGATAAGTGAGCATCTGATATGCAACTCTTTGTACATTTATTTAGGGTCTTAAGTATGGTAGACGAACCCTTTTCTCTCTTCGTGAAAGTGTAGTCAGCAGGGTTTTGAGTGCCTGCTCCCAGTAAGACTTAGTACGTAGCACTGTCAATGTTTGGCAAAGAGAAAGGAAGCTTGTGGTTGGGGGAGTTGGGGGTGAAGGAGCAGTGGGGAGCCAGGCTGTTTAGATTCTGCGCTCAGAGATGTAGTTCAAACCAGGAGACACTTTAAAAATATACTGACTGGTATTTTGAGTCTGCTTTTCATTAGCTGGATGGATACTCATATACCAGTACACTCTTGTTCCTCTCTTGAAAAATTTCCCCTGGCGCTTTATTAGTGTCAATATTTGGCTTGAAAACGTAGCTTTTTATTTTGACATATATGTATAATTTTTAGTAGTGGAAAATGTGGATTTTATTAAAACCAGATTCGGGCAGTTTTTTAAGGAAGCCTTTTAGTTCATCTTTTGAATTCCTGGCCTATAGAATTTAAAATTTTATCTTTCTTTTTGTTTCTGCAGCTGGCATATTGTATAGTTCAGTTTCTGGAGAAAGATCCTTCCCTCACAGAACCAGTAAGTATCCCTGTCATAATTTCATAAAACCTCAGAAAGACCACTTTACTTGGCTGTGTATATGAAAAATGAAATGCCGTTTCTTTTTCTCATTTTCATTTTAGGTTATTAGAGGGTTAATGAAATTTTGGCCCAAAACATGTAGTCAAAAAGAGGTAAGTGCTTAATGTCAGAGTGTGTGGAGAACTTTCCAGAATGCCAGGCACTGGGCTAAGAACGAGGGGGTGGGGGAGTGGTGCGGCAGCAATGCATGATCTCAAACTTGTCCTTTTCTAGCTCTAAAAGGCAGGATTTTAAATACTCTTTGCTTAATAATTATGGACTTGAGACTTAATTGAGCCAGCCCAAGTCGCCTAGGTACAGGTTCCTAGGCTGCAACCTGACTCCTGGAACTCCTGAGCTTTTAACCAACCCTCTATTGCCCAGGCCAGGCCCCGGTCACGTTGTCTAGCTCAGTTCATGTTACCTTCCCAGTTATTAAGTGCCTTCGTGGCTGCTGCTGATAAAACGTAGGACACAGTTCCCCAACACCCACATCATGCAGATGGGATCTTCCTGTGTAGTATCTGAAAACATAGAACAGGCCTTTAGTTTCACCTGTTCACACGTGACCGTGGAGGTCTATGATGTACACTCATTGTTCTGGTGCCAAGACCTAACCAGACAACGTGCTGTGTGGGGTTATTGTGGGTGAGTGCATCTCTCAGCTTGGTGGTGAGCCTTGAGACAGCACATCAGCAGCCACTCTTCTGTAAGGTTAGAAACAGTGACCTAGAAAAAACAGCTTAGCTATTAATTTTATATTTTGGCAGAACTTCTGTATATATCTTGACATATGGCAAGGTCTACGTACTATATACAGGGGAGCCTCAAAACAGGTAATGGAAAAATGGTATTAAAAGATAATGGAATCTCTCCACAAACCTTTTGAAGCCCCCTTGCATTTTGCATGTCACAGAACTGTTTCTCACAACAACCCATCTGACACAATTTCGGGAAATCATATCATCTTTTAACAGCTACTGCTGCTGCTGTTTTAAGTGCTGCCGAGTCGATTCTGACCCATAGCGACGCTGTATACCTGCTAGGTAAAATTAAACTAGACATTGCTACCCAAATACATCGAAAGATGTGAAAGCATTGTTAATTTTTATGTTTTCACTGCACACTAAATTTTTCTCTAAGGTAACTCGTTTTTGATATCTTAAATAGGTCTTATCCAAAACAGTTGATTGGCTGTATTTCCCAAGGCATAGAGTACTGAGGCCATGGGTGTCATTGCCCTTAGTAGTGAGTTGTGCGTGTGTGTGTGTTTGTAGACGTGAGTGTGGAGAATGGGTCAGCCTCTGCTAGTGGATTTGAAATGGTATTTGTATGACGGTGACTCTGCTCGTTTGTGTTTCTTGGATTTTGTCTGTTCTGTTGGCTGGTGTAGCCTTGAACAACACTTACACATCGTAGTGTTAGCTGTATTGGAAATAGTATTGGTGGTGCAGTCATTAAAGCACCTGGGTGCAAACTGAGGTCAGCGGTTCGAACCTACCACCAGCTTTACAGGAGAAAGCTGTAGCAGTCTGCTCCTGTAAGGATTACAGCCTTGGAAGCCCAGTGGAAACGCTTCTCCTCTGTCCTGTTAGCATCACGATGAATTGGGATCATCTCGATGGCAGTGGGTTTAGGCCAGGTATAAATACAGGGTGGACGACTTGTGTGCACATCCATGCAGGAGGGTTTCCTTCTCCCTTCTCTCTGTCTTTTTGCTGTAAAGGTGGAGGATAGCACTGAAGTGGTGGCAGTAGATACGAGCTCCACCTAGAACATCTGTTTCCCAGCAGCCCCACTGCACTGTGCCAATGTCCCGTACTCAGCATACCTCTATGCTGTAGGGAACTTGCTTTTAAGAAGTATCCTAGTGTCGGGGGAGAGGGGGAAATGAATAGACAGAAATGCTGTTAACTGATGGTACATGGAGGGGATTATAATCATTGTAATGAGACAAAGGTGTATGATTGGTTGAATGTAAAACTGATGATCTGCCCTGTAAACTTTCACTCAATCCACAATAAAACTTAAAGGAAATAAAAAAAAGAAGCACCCTAGTGTCAATTCTTTATGAAATGAACAACTTCTAATGTGAGGGAAGACCTGCTGCTTCTCTTTTTATTTGTTTAGTTTTACGTATCAATTTACCTTAAAATAGTCCAAATTTCTCATTGTTCCAAAAAATGTTTATTCCAAAACACCTAACATTTTGCGTTTTGCATGTGTTCACAGGTAATGTTCCTTGGGGAGCTGGAAGAAATATTGGATGTGATTGAGCCTTCACAATTTGTTAAAATTCAGGAACCTTTGTTTAAACAAATTGCCAAGTGTGTATCTAGCCCTCATTTTCAGGTTAGTAAGGAAAGAACAGGGGCCAGAGTGGCCTGTACAAGACGAATGATTTTGATTACATTTAATTTGTATTGAATGAAATATAATGGGCATGAGATGACTGTTGTTTTTGTTTTCTAGTTGCTATTTTATTTGGTATTTGCTCCTTGCCTTGCCCCAGGTGTGGCATCAGGGTCAAAGATCTTTGAAAGGTTTGCTCTAAGACCCACATCTAATAGAAGAGGAGGGTCAAGTCAAATGTTGATCTTAGATGGAGCTTCTTGCTCAGGCCCCTGAGCTTCTCATGGCAGTGCTCTGCCTCCTTGTGGCCACTCAGGGAGAACTGGGAAGGAGAACCTCCGCAGCCCTTTAGAATTAGAGCAGCTGCTGCTAATGCTTCAGAACCGACACATGAGGGAAGGGGGTGATCTGCGTTGAAAACACTTTAGGCTTTATTCTTAGATTGCATCACCAGAAACCCAAATTTACAAACTCTGAGACTCTGTCTACTGCCAGCAATTTGGAGAGATTGTTCAGATAGTAGTTTCTAGTTCAGCACCACGCCTCTTAGGTGCCCTTTTATGGTAGACTTCTCTTGTGAGCTGTCAACATCCTGCATAGTTAGAGACATTGGCATTGTTGGGGTTTCCATTTCTGTCCTAAAGACATCATGTCGGTGATGTCAAAGTGACACTTCCCATTTGGATCTCATACACATACACACAAAAGTGGAAACCACTGCATTCAGTGTTCAGATGACATAATCTATATCTCGATTAAAATAGAAAAACGAGGCAATCTGTAGCTATTTTGCATAGTACACAGGGCTCCTGGGGCTCAGACATCTGGCTTGTTTACCTTACTTTTCAGTCTTCCTCCGGAGTTTGGGTTGTATGGAGGGCATAGATGAGGAATCGCTTTTAAAATGAGCATCACTAGAGAGGCTTAACGGATGCTCAAGATCTTAAAGGGGTTGTTGTTGTCAAGTGCCATTGAGTCAATTCCGACCTGTAGTGACCCTGTATAGGGTTTCCAAGGAACAGCTGGTGAGCTCGAACCGCTGACCTTGCAGTTCAAACGACTTTGCAGCCTGGTGCATTAACCCACAGTGCCACACCAGGACTCCTAGAAAGAGGTTGTTGTTGTTGTTAAGTGCCGTCGAGTCAGTGCCGACCCATAGCGACCCTGTACAGGGTTTCCGAGGCTGTAAATCTTTACGGGAGCAGAACGCCTCATCTTTCTCCCGCAGAGCAGCTGGTAGTTTCG